CACAAAGCAAGGTCCATAAAGACATGGAGGAGCCAGTTTGGGGTGGAGGAACTTGACTGACCTGGAGAGTCCTGACCTCAACCCCATAGAACACCTTTGGGGTGAATTAGAGCAGAGACTGTGAGCCAGGCCTCCTCCCCCGACATCAGTGCCTGACCTCACAGATGCTCTTCTGGAAGAATGGTCCAACCTTCCCATAGACACCCTCCTAAACCTTGTGGACGGCCTTCCCAGAAGAGTTGAAGCTGTTATAGCTGCAAAGGGCGGGGCCAACTCAATATTGAACCCTACAGACTAAGACTGGGGGGCCACTAAAGTTCATGTGTGTGTAAAGGCAGGCGGCCCAATACTTTTGTCAATATAGTGTATGTAAAATAGAATAAATGGGGAGGGTCCAGCTTGTATTGAACTAACTAGCACCAAACAGGAAGGGAAGACAGAGGGAGAAACCAATCAAGTAAACAAGTAAACTGCGACTAGTTATCAACATACATCAAACAAAGCCAACTGGATACAGTTCAATATGACACAGAAAAATACATATACAGGCATACCTCGGTTTACAAATTTAATGCTTTCTGCTGGACTTTTCGTATTGCGAAAAATTCGTAAACCGAAATGCGGTTTCCCATAGAAATGCATTGAAAACCAATTAATCCGTCCCGGAGGTCAGAAAAAAGTAAAAAAAAAAAGTATTTTATCTGTTCAAAACTCTTTATAAAGTGCACTTTAACCCCTCGCCTACAGGGCACTTATACCCCCTTCCTGTCCAGGCCAATTTCCAGCTTTCAGCGCTGTCACACTTTGAATGACAATTGCGTGGTTATGCAACATTGTACCCATATGAAATTTTTATCATCATTTTTTTGTGACAAATAGAGCTTTATTTTGGTGGTATTTAATCACCTCTCTGATTTTTTGTATTTTCTTAAACAAACCAAAAACCACTGAAAATTGTGAAAAAAAACACGTTTTTTCTTAGTTTTTGTTTTAAAATTTTTGTAAATAGTGATTTTTCTCCTTCACTGATGTGCGCTAATGAGGCTGCACTGATGGGCACTGATAGGCTGCACTGATGGACAGTGATGAGGAGGGACTGGTAGGTGGCACTGGTGGGCATTGACAAGTATCACTGATGGGCACCGAAAGGCAGCACTCATATATGGCACTGATAGGCGGCACTGCCTGGCACTGTTAGGTGGCACTGATAGGCGGCACTGATAGGTGGCATTGATTGGCAGCACTGATAGGTGGCACTGATTGGCAGCACTGATAGGTGGCACTGATTGGCAGCACTGATAGGTGGCAGTGACTGGTATTGATAGGTGGCACTGACTGGCACTGATGGGTGACACTGAAAGGCAGCTCAGATGGGCACTGATATGTGGCATTGATGTGGCACTGGTAGGCACTGGCAGGTGGCATGGATGAGCACTGAGAGCTGGCACTGATGGACACTGACAGGTGGCACTGCTGGGGCTAAACAGATCATCAGGGCACACTGATCATCAGTGCTCTGATGATCAGTGTAGATGTCCCCTCCGAGGAATGCCGATTACCGGCTCTCCTCTCCTCTCCTCTGTCAGTGTGACAGCTCGAGAGGAGAGAAATGCTGATAACCGGCATTTCCCTGTTTACATGTGATCAGCTGTGATTGGACACAGCTGATCACATGATGGAGCTGACATCTTTGGCTCTTTCCATTGATCGGTGATCTGCTGTGTCCAAGGGACACAGCGCATCGCCGATCGCCGCGCTGCGTGCTCCCTGAGCCGTGCTTACCGATTACCGCCTCTCCTCTCCTCTGTCAGTGTGACAGCTCGTGGGGAGAGAAATGACGATAAGCAGCATTTCCGTGTTTACATGTGATCAGCTGTGATTGAACACAGCTGATCACATGATGGAGCTGACATCTTTGGCTCTTTCTATGGATCGATGATCCGCTGTGTCCGAGGGACACAGCACACCACCAATCGCCGTGCTGCGCGCTCCGGGAGCTGCGCACGCGCGGTTAGAATGGGAGGACGTCATATGATGTCCTCCCAGAACGAGAGAACCGCCTTGCGTCTGTCATATTACTATATGGCGGGCGGGAGGTGGTTAAAGGCATAAATACTGTACAGGGACATGATTCAAAATTAATTTGTGAATGCACTGAAAACCAATTAATCCGTTTCGGAGGTCAGAAAAAAGTAAAAAAAAGTCTGTTCAAAACTCTTTATAAAGTGCACTTTAAAGGCATAAATACTGTACAGGGACATAATTTTAAAAAAAATTCATAGATGCATTGAAAACCAATTAATCCGTTTGTATTTAGAAAAAAAAAATTGTATAACCAAGGCATGATTTTCAATGGATTTTCATTCATAAACCAAAAATTGGGTTAACCAAGGCGTTTGTAAACCAAGGTACGCCTATAAGTGGACAGAACAGATGTGAAAGTACAGTATACAGTATATGTCAAGTGCTGGTACTTTATAAATAACTGTAATAAATAAATAAATGCATAACAAAATAAATATATAAAACAACACCAGCCTACTGATGATTTGTGAGCTTACGTTTGGTTTTTCCTATTTTTAAGTTTTTTATGTTCTGAGCTATTTTTTATTGTATTCCTCTTCTGAGATCTATATAACCTCTAAGTAATCCCCCACCTTCCTTGGGCTGAATCTCAAGCAAATTAGAATTTGATTTATAGGGTTTTATTTTTACAGCATGAAAAGTAGCAGCGCGGCGATTCCTGATAAGCGGAGGAATCACTCAGTGTTACTCCTGAAGGGTCTCAGAGACCAGAAATAACTTTTCCCAGCCAGGAGAGTCGGAGGCGAGATGGAAGGATTGAGCGAGTCACGAGTCAGATGAGACAGGGTGACAGCGGCAGAGGAGTAATGGATGGATCCCTCCAGACACAATGGAATATCAGCTCTGTACAGGTTAATAGACACATGTCATGTATCTCAGTTACGTAGGGCAAAAGGCCAACCTAATTCCGCCATGCGAAGACGCCGCTCTGTGCTATCGCCGCACTACTTTAGAGGGGTATGTCATTCATGAATGGAAATCTAGAGAGTCAATATGGAAGAAAAATATATTTTTTACTACAAAACATATGAAAAATATTTTTAAAAATACATTTAAAATATACAAATCTACATTTTTGGAATGCATTTATAAATATATGTAAAAATATATGTTAAAATTACTTTTTTATATGTTATTTTTTAAATATATTTTTCAGATTTTTTTTTAACATATACAAATATTTTTCATATATTTTGTAATAAAAACACATTTCAACATGCAGTATATATATATATATATATATATATATATATATATATATATATATATATAGTGTTCCTGCTTGTAATTAGGGATGAGCATGGGTTCGGCTTTAATCTGGTCTGAATCCATGTTTGGGCAAAACTGGAAAGATGTCATTTCTGGGCCACTGAGCTGTAGATGGGGGGAACTGCATGCACACAAAAGGGACGTGGATGCCCGTGGCATGATTGATCTATTATGACTACATGGAAATATAAGGTCAATGACAACAACCTAATATGGCCATGCACTAGCCCTCACCTCTGCCTTATGTTCCTGGTTGTAGTTATGGAGAAGCTTTAACTTAGCTTGCGTCTGGTCCAAACCCATGTTTGGCCAAAACCGGCAGGAAGTTGCCATTGTTGGGCCAATGAGCCATGGACAAAGGAATTCCCTCCAGCTGCGCGTACACAAAGGGGTGTGGATGCTCGTGACTTCATTGACCTAATATGGCCACATGGCCATTCCAGGTCAATGTTATCTACTTCATATAGTCACATGTCCATATCAGGTCTGTGTCATTGGCTTCATATGGCCATATTAGGTCAATGGTGTCATCCATGCCCCTTTGTGTACGCACAGCCACAGGGCATATTGACCTATTATGACCACATGTCCCATTTATGTCAGTGCCATTGACCTGGTATGGTCAAGTGGCCATAATAGGTCAATTATATTGCCTGAAATGGAACTGTGGCCATATTAGGTCAATGGTGTCAAAAACATTCCTGCCCCTTTGTGTAGCTGCAGGATTGGAAACCCCCTGCCTGCAACAGATTGACCTGACTGACTTACTTTTGGGTTTGTCCAAACATGGGTTCAGACTGGACCCAAGCCAAACCCAAGCTCATCCATCATTACAAGCAGGAACACAAGGTAGAGGGGTGGGCTAGTACATGGTTAGATTAGGTCACTGTCATTGACCTTGTATTTCCATGTGGCCAAATTAGGTCAATGATGTCATGAGCATCCCCAACCTTTTTTATACTGTGCTTTCGAAAATCCCCCACCCTTAGCTGATTGGCCCAGCACTAACATTTCCTTCTGGATCAAACCCAAGTTCATCTCTACTCATAATGCGAGAAAGGAATTCACACACCCAATGCAGGACCAAATATATTTTAGCATTTGTGTGGGTAATTATCACACGATTCCACGTGTCGCAGGTAGGACAGCCCATTCACCTCAACGGGATGCCCTAAGCGTGTTTGCTGCCCAAAAGAAGCTCCTGCTCGTTTTCGGGTGACAAGCTTCATGCTATCATTAAATTGCCACGTGAATCGTGCCTCATTCAGAAAGAATAGCATCCAAATAGGCACTGCGATTGCCACCCGATTTGGAATCACAGACAGAATCGCGCTTCCTCCCGCGATTCCAAATTGCCAAGCATGAATGGGGCCTTAGAGCCATCAATTCTTCCCAAACCTTTTTTTCATGGGTGAAACTGTAAGTAGAGAAATAGCAATTTATACAACACAGTCTTCAGAAAGGAGCTGCACCACCGACCCCGTGAGGAGACCTGTGACATCTAGCTGCAGTTGATTACACGGAGCTCAAACTAAGCTACACTGAGTGAACTTCCCTAACTTTATCACAGCTGCATTGTTGTCTGGACACCATTAATAGATCTCTGATAGGTTTCTACCATTAAATATATATAAAACTGTGCTTATCATGGGCGGACTGACCATTTGGAAACTCGGGCACTGCCCGAGGGCCCGGGGTCAGTAGGGGGCCCCATGAGATGCCCCTGGTACCTTTTTCATAGGCTTTTTTGAGTTTGGGCAAGGACACAGGGGCCCCATGATCCCCTATTGCCCGGGGGCCCCATGAGTTGTCAGTCCGCACCTGGCGCTTATGTGAAATAGACTCCCTCAAGCGTTGGTTTTGGCCAGCTCAGTGGATTGCTTCAAAAAAGTCCTGGATTGTTTCTTAGATACACAGAGTATAACTGGATATAACAGTTATAGGTAAAGTTGATCCAGGGAATATCCGATTGTCTCTCGGGGGATCAGGAAGGAATTATTTCCAGCAGGAGCAAATTAGATCATGCTTTGCTGGGTTTCTTTTTGCCTTCCTCTGGATCAACTGTGGGTATAGGATTATAACCAGGGGTGGACTGACAACTCATGGGGCCCCGGGGCAATAGGGGATTATGGGGCCCCTGTGTCCTTGCCCAAACTCAAAAAAGCCTATAAAAAAGGTACCAGGGGCATCTCATGGGGCCCCCTACTGGCCCCGGTCCCTCGGGTAGTGCCCGAGTTTCCAAATGGTCAGTCCGCCCCTGATTATAACTTTTTTTCGTTCTATGGTTGAACTGGATGGACTTTGTCTTTTTTCAGCCAGACTAACTATGTAACTATGTAGCTTATGAAAAATTGTAGTAAATAATCAATAATCAAAATAGAGTGTAAACATACAGCAGCTGAACACAAAAAAACCCGATACCAGGCAATAAATAATATATACATAAAGCGCACCGCTTAATAAAGTGACAAATAACACAGGTCTGCGACTAAAAAGCTGTTTGATTATTTTCATCTAATTTCCATGTATTTTGGTGTGCTGAAAACAAATAAAATATTGAAAAAACTCCTAGACGTCATGATTTGCCACAAAATGCAAAATTGTCTTCAAATGTATCGAATTATTTTAATTTTTGGTATTTTTTTTATATTATGGGTTTTTAACCAAATTTAAAGTCCAAATTACTATTTAATTAATTAATTCACATAAGTGCATTTAAGATATAAAATGCCAAAAAAACCTTAAAGGGGTTGTCTGAGTTATGTAAAAATAAATTTAGCACTGTAAATCTGATGGTCAGCAATATATACATAAGCTAAGCAAGTTTTCGGGAAAAAAAATTCTATTTCCTTATTTCCCTAGTTCTCTTCTGGCGCTTTGTTGTTTTTTGCAAGTAAACAATCTCTGCCCCTCCCCCCCTGCAAAGGGGGTGAATACAAGTGTTGCTCTGAGTGACATGTCTGACTACTGGGATACTCAGCAGCATGCTGTATGTGTAATCCTCAGCCCTGAGTCTGGGCTTCTAATGGTAGAAGGGGTTAATCTTTCCTGAAGAATCCAGTGGGTGGGATATCAAATACCCTTGTTTTCTGTGTCTATGGGACAGTCGAGACCGACAAAATCACTGGACCAAGAAGAGTTGGCAGCCAATGGTGCTAACAGTCGGTGAAAAAAATGTCCTCCGAGAAACTTTGGTACCTTCCCATAAAGTTCTTCTACCACCTCTCCACATAAAATTTGGATTGATGAAGCAATTCGTAAAATCACTTCCAAGAGATGGAGAATGCTTCAAATACTTGGTCACCAAGTTTCCAGGCCTGTCGGAGGCAAAATTGAAGGAAGGCGTGGTCGTCGGACCAGACATTAGAAGGCTTCTAGTTGATCAAGAGTTTGTCAATACCATGACGGATCCTCAAAAAGAAGGGTGGATTGCATTTAAAGAAGTCGTACAGAAATTTTTAGGCAATAACAAAGATCCTCACTACAAAAAGATCATCGGACGAATGCTGAAAGCATTTCAAGCTTTAGGTTGCCTGATGAGTTTGAAAGTACATTTCCTCCAGTCCCACCTTGACTACTTTCCTGAAAATTTGGGAGCTGTGAGTGAGGAACAAGGTGAACGATTCCACCAAGACATTAAAGAGATGGAAAGGAGATACCAGGGAAAATGGAGCATTACAATGATGGCAGACGACTGTTGGATGCTTCAGAGAGACATTCCAGATGCTACTCACAAGCGTAAATGCGCCAAGAGGAGCCTCACAGGGAAGAAGTATCAAGTTTAGTGTGTGTAGGTGAGCTCATTTCAGTTCGAAAAAGGATTTTCATGATAAAATTGTAATAAAACTTTAATTTTATAAGTCTATTTCCATTCATTTTGAGGTATTGCCTTATTTAACATAGTTACCTAAATTGTCAGGAAACGTGATGTCCTATGACAAAATGGAGGTCATTTTCGGATTCACCGCACCAAAAAACATAAAGATTTTGTGGAATACCCAAAACAGCTCTTGAAAAAAATTTTTCTTGCAGACCTGTGTAATTAGTGAAAAAAACAGTCAAAAAATGTGTCATAAAAATAGTCCATCCAAAAATAAAGAAAAAGTCCCCAGAGGCTGTGATGCAACAAAGGAAATCCAAGGACAGTTGTGTCACCAGCCACTCACAGGAAAGGCTTACCAGAAAGGCATGACCCCCTGTTAAGAGTGGTCAATTGTGCTTTGCTAGAAACAACCCAGAAAGCCGGACAATCAGATCCTCCTCTGGATCACCAAGAGAGCAAGTAAAGACCTTCCAAACAGTGGACCTTTTAAGGTAGTTACACCACTCAGGATAAAGTTCAGACTCGTAGTAGGAGACATGTAAAAAAAGAGTGCTCCCCATAGTGTAAAACCATTAAGACAACATTTATTTAAAGTACAGTTGCACCCACATGAAAGCAAACATCATTAGGCATTTAGCAAAAAGCAGTTTGATAGTAGCATGTGTACGTGGCTCCTCCCTACGTGTTTTGTCACAGGTAACGTCATCAGGGGCACACTATGTGGAGCACTCTTTTGTTACGTTTCCTACCACATTTTGGAAACTGGAAAATTTTGATTTTTTTTTTTGCCTATCAGTACCTAATGTTTGCTTTCATGTGAGTGCAACCGTTTAAATAAATGTTGTCTTAATGGTCTTACACTATGTGGAGCACTCCTTTTTGTACATGTCTCCTACTACGAGTCTGAACTTTATTCTGAGTGGTGTAGCTACCCTAATTAAGGTCTTTACTTGCTCTCTTGGTGATCTGGAGGAGGATCCGATTGTCCGGCTTTCTGGGTTGTTTATAACAAAGCGCGACTGACCACTCCTAACAGGGGATCATGCCTTTCTGGTAAGCCTTTTGTGTGAGTGGCTGTTGACACAACTGTCCTTGGATTTCCTTTGTTTCATCACAACCTCTGGGGACTTTTTCTTTATTTTTGGATGGACAATTTTTTATGACAGGTTTTTTCACTGTTTTTTCCACTAATTATTTGTCACTTTATTAAGCGCTGCATTTAATGTATATATTGTTTATTGCCTGGTATCGGGGTTTTTTGTGTTCAATTGCTGTATGTTTACACTCTGTTTGTATTATTGATTTACTACATTTACGGATTTTTGGATGGACTATTTTTATGACACATTTTTTCACAGTTTTTTTCACTAATTATTTGTCACTTTATTAAGCCCTGCATTTTATGTATATATTGTTTATTGCCTGGTATCGGGGTTTTTTGTGTTCAATTGCTGTATGTTTACACTCTATTTTGATTATTGATTATTTACTACAATTTTAAGATTTTTGGATGGACTATTTTTATGACACATTTTTTCACAGTTTTTTTTTACTAATTATTTGTCACTTTATTAAGCCCTGCACTTTATGTACAGTTGCAAGAAAAAGTATGTGAACCCCTTGGGATTACGTGGAGTTTTGCATGAGTTGGGCATAAAATGTGCTCTGAACGTCACAACAATAGAAGAACACAGTCTGCTGAACATAATACTACACAAACATTAGATGTTGCCATGGTTTCATTGCACATAACATGTAAACATTCACAGTGCAGGGAGGAAAAAGTATGTGAGGCCCTAGCTTAATGACTTCTCCCAGAGCTAATTGGAGCCAGGAGTGAACCAACCTTGACTCCAATCAGTGTGATGATATTGGATGTGTTGCTGACAGCTGTCCTGCCCTTAAAAAAACACACACCTGTTTTGGGTTTACTGGTTTCAAGAAGCACTGTCTGATGTGAACCATGCCTCCCAGAAAAGAGCTCTCAGAAGACCTATGATCAAGAATTGTTGACTTGCATGAAGCTGGAAAGGGTTACAAAAGTATCTCCAAAAGCCTTGATGTTCATGTGTCCACGGTAAGACAGATTGTCTACAAATGGAGAAAGTTTAGCACTGTTGCTACTCTCCCTAGGCGTGGTCGTCCTGTAAAAATGACTGCAAGAGCACAGCGCAGAATGCTGCATGAGGTAAAGAAGAATCCCAGAGTGTCAGCTAAAGACCTACAGAAATCTCTGGCACATGCTAACATTTTTGTTGACACATCTACAATAAGGAAAACATTAAACAAGAATGGAGTACATGGGAGGACACCACGGAGGAAGCCATTGCTGTCCAAAAAGAATATTGCAGCACGTTTGAAGTTTACAAAAGAGCACCTGGATGTTCCACAGCACTACTGGCAAAATATACTGTGGACAGATGAAACCAAGATTGAGTTGTTTGGGAAGAACACACAAACACTATGTGTGGAGAAAAAAAGGCACAGCACACCAACATGAAAACCTCATCCCTACTGTAAAATATGGCGGAGGGAGCATCTTGGTTTGGGGCTGCTTTGCTGCCTCAGTGTCAAGGTCCTACCTTTTCCCAGAGGTTATGTTACTCCATGTGCTGGCATCCATCTTGGATTTCTGCTGAGCATGGTGGGAAGCTTTTATGCCTTCAGGTTTCTGAGGTCCATCCCCCAGAGGGGTGTGGCTGAGTACATATAAGCCTGTGATCCGCACATGCTCTTTGCACTTGTGTCTTGTGTCTTTGTCTTGCTACAGCTCTGTGTATACGCTCGTGACTCTTCTGGTATTCTGACTCGGCTTGTGACTAAGACCATTCTCTGTGTTTTCCTTCGATCTGACCTTCCGTTGCTGAACCCGGCCCGTGACCTGTGATTCTCTGTCTACTGTTCTGTACTGTGTTGTCCTGTTGTTGTCGACTCGGCTTGCCTGACTACGCTATTGTCATTCTCACCAGCTACACGCCATTGGCGG